CGTCGAAATAAGGAGAAATGATTTAAGAACAGAAATAGGAAATTTTTAGGAAAAGTTATCAAGATTCAAAATAAATTTTGAATTTGCATTTCAGTAAAAGGTTGAGTAAAATGTATTATTTTACGCAAATTTCTAATTGCTTTTTGGATTAATTTTTTGTAGATTATTCTATTGGAATGAAACTTTAAAACTTTTGAAGAAATGTATTACTATGTTCAACATTCACTTTTCGATAATTTGATGAATATTTTTGAGCCATCAGAATAATCCTTATTGATTCTTCTTTTTTTATAGGTTGTTTTTCCTACTTTGAATATATCTGCGTAATAAATATTATACTTTATAATTGTTATTTTTTGGTTATATTTGTTTATTAATTTTGTTTCGGCAACAAGTCAGGAGCATTCTCATAACTTTAATCCTCACTATCTTTAGCCATATCCATTATGAAAACAATTTTGTTATCTTGAATTTCTATTAGAAAAAAAAAATTCTTTCTCACTTATCTGATATTTTTTATAAACCTTTGAACCTGAAGTTTCTAATTATATTCGATATTCCTCATTGTTATTATGTTTTATAAATCGTATTATATTGATATAAATCTTCTGTGAGCTTATTTAGGTTAGCAAAAATTAGGAAATAAAAAGCCATTCTTAGAATTTGCAGAATCATGTTTATAGCGGACAAACTCTTGACACATGTAGTGTCTATTTATAATGGATTTATGATTACTGTAAATTTAGAAAATTCTTCAAATTAAAATAATTAAAACTTTATTGATATACAGTAACGTTTAATGACTCTAGCAAAGCCAAAATCAATAATTTTAGAGTTGAATATTCATAAATTACTACAACTATCGAAATTACCTTTACAGCAACTAGTTTGGTTTTAAGGTTTTTTTTTTATTTGTACAGAATACCAAAGGCTCCATTAATTACCTAACTTCTTTTTGACTATGATGTACTTGTAAATATATTTTTAGTAGTCTTCTAATCTTTAGAAATTTATTTAAGAAATATAGCTAATGATAAAAAATCAGGAAGGACTTTGCCTTTTGTGCACCAGACATAAAGTAAAGTTAGAGGCAAATATATTTATATGGTGTACTATTTTTCGAGCTTTCGTTTGATCGAAATCCTATTTTATAAATATATTGAAGAATTAATAGAATTAGGAAATATAATCTGGATACATTGCTAAAACAGGCTTATTTTGTTAGATATAAAAAATCTAATAATTAATTGGGCATAATAAATAATGAAGTATTAGGTAGAATAAGTCTTTAATTTAAGAAAAATCATTAAAATGATAAGGTTAATAATTAAGCCCATAATTTTGATAACATTGTTAAAGTTTTTAGAAACTACTGATACTGTCCAAATAATTCTTAATACCCTACTATTAATTTAGCTATAATGTTTAATTAACATTAATTCATAAAGCATGATGAAAAGTTGTTGTTTGATAATTATACAAAGAGGTTTTAAACTACTTAAAATTATTTAGAATTTGAACACTAGATAAATCTAAATATTACAATTGCTCTAATTTTATTAAGAAGTGATTCTTAGGGATTTCACTAAATAAGGTATTCTTACTAATACTATTAATCAGATTAAGGAAAAAAATTATATTGATGAAATCACTAAAAGGTTTCGAATAAATAATTTCGCTTAATGAATAGCATACAAACATAAATAATTTTTTTTTTTGAAAAAAGATTTAATAAAAATATTAGGATTTAAACGTTTAATTTGCGATCTTTATTATCATATTGTTAAATGACTAGATCTGAAAAATTGACCCAAAATAAATTTAATA